AAAAAAAAAAAAAAATCAGGGCAGGAGAGAAGAGACCCAGTGCCAGTGAGATCTCAGACTGGACCCCCAGAAAGATGGGATTCCTACCTCAGAATACAGAATCCCAGTGCCAAAGTTCCTAATCTAAATAAGCCATGTTCTGCTCCAGCAAGGAGTGATAAACCTTTACACCCAGTATCCTTTAGCCATAAGAGAAAACACACCTTCCTGATTCTTAAGAGTCTGCTGGTTTGACAAAGAGCAATTAGAGAAATATATTCAGGCCATGGGTGTGATAATATGAGCCCTCATTTCCCATAACCTCATCAAGATAGTAAACTACTCATGATCCTATTAATAACATCACTATTGTTACGTTATTAATAGCCTTAACGTTAATGGCAATGCTAATAATTTACTGAATGACTACTGCAATGACAGTGCCCTTAACTAGATCCATGAGGGCAGAACCATATCTATCCTATGTTTTCATCCCTAGTGTTTGGGATACAACCTGGAACATAGGAGAGGCTCAATATCTAGCTACTGAATGAATAAATGAATGAATGAATGTCATGCATGTTGCTAGGTACCTTAATCACTTTTCTCCACCCTATATCCTCCATAGGGCTTAACACACAGCAGCATTCGATACACCTGGTGATGGGCTCACTGACCTCCCAGACAACTGGAAGGAACAAAAAGTTACATGGAACAGCCCGTTTGGGACTGGGGTCACTCACTGGTTCCAAACTGCTAGGTCAGCCACAAGAGAAAGAGACAACAAAAGCTCCATAAAGCTCTACTGGCAAAGAGTCAGGTAAGGTCGGAGTGGTGGCTCGAGAGCCAGCACCTTCCAAACAGTCCTGGGGAAGAAGACTAGGCCTAGGGATTTCCTCCCCGGAAAGTCTACTCTGTTGTGACTCTGTTAGCCCACAGAGCAATGGTTCTCTGCGATACATACGGTGGGCACCTGAAAAGGGGGCATGTGGGAGCCTTTAAGTACACAATTAAGTGCCTCAGGATTTATGTTAGTATTCACCAAGTGATATACATAATATATATAAACAAACAACACATTTGGGATGAAAATAAAGCACTCCCTGTCAGCACGAGGGGGTATGATTTTGACACCCAGTGTCCTGGGGAATGTTAAACACACACGTTCCTGTGTTGGGCCTATGCATCTGAGTTCAATGCAAAGAATTCCAGGAGCTCAAAGCCCTAGGCTGGTTTCTCTACTGACAAGCCTTGGATAATCATTTAACATGGACTGATTGTGGGGTTGTTGTTTTTTTTCCACATGTAAAGGGAGGACATAGTCATCTTTGCCCTCCCAGACTGGGTAGTGGTTGCTAGTCAAATAAATAGGTAAATTGAGAAAATGCCTCGTAAACTGAAACCATAGTTCATTTTTCCTTCTTCTGCCGTCCATGTTATTTCGCTCCCTGTTCTACTACTCAAATCATCCTAATCTGTGGCCGGTTTCCCCTGAGCTAGAAAGGAGAGAACAGCCTAGACAGCAGCAAGACTGATTTTCAGTCAGGGGGGGAAATGGTAAAGAAAAGATAAGAAGATTCCCTTTCATGACGGAAGGAAGGGGCCAGAAGGGAACAAGGCGCTTGCTCTACTCGTTCTGCCAGTTTGCAATCAATGACCCCACTCTGCTCTACTCCTGGAGTGAAAGAAGCAGCCTGCCTCCCAGCGAGCCATGCCAGAGCCGGCCACCCCACCCAGCTCCACATGTCTGCAATGCTCCTCGGCCCTTACACAACAGCAAGAGCACTGCACCAAAGCTTCCCCTCCCCAACTTCTGCCTTCTGCTCTTCCCCCGAGCTCTTGGACAGAAACTCCCAAATTCCACTCCTGGCTTTGCGGCTGAGTGGCCTTGGAAAAGCTACTTCGCTACCACGGCCTCAGGGAAAGGAGATACCAACACTCCATACCCACCGGGGATACTGAGAGGGCTAAGGGAGATAAAGCAGGTAAAGGGCGCAGCACGTTGCCTGGCACACGGTAAGCACTCGATAAATATTACCCATGATTATTTCAAGACCAGTTCATTGTGAAAACATCCAGGGACACAGCAGTG